ATATATATATATAAATTACATTAAAATAAAGTCCACTAATATCGAATAAAGAACGAAATTTTGTTGTAATTTGTGATTTGCGAGATATAAGCTGCATTAAAAACTATCGTGTATATTGTGTATGTGTGTGTGTGATAAGAATTTTTCAATATTACGTAGTTGAATAAAAAAACTCTCTTAAACCTTTATACGCTATTGGTTAAATAAATATAAATGGGCAATTAAAGGAATAATAAACAGAGACGCTATTACCGAGGTAGTTCCATACAACGTATCTTTTGTCGATTTATTTTCTGTATCTCGTTGTAAATATCGTCATCTTAATTAAACACACACACACACACGCATACACACAACACACATGTACGGACGTATTCTCTTTCTCTCATACAAACTATTTTAATCACGAAATTCCACGATGCGCTGTTTTCCATTATCGCATCGACAACACTGATGCTACTAGTATCTCTTCGATCTCACCAGTTTTTGTAGGTACACCAAATTACGGCTCTTTTCGCATTTGTAACGCGCACATATATAAAAATTATATTTAGCGAGAATCTACAAAGTCACATAAAATTACAAAGTAAATTACATACATATTTATAATCATCGTAGAAGCATAGCATCTTTCTCTCTCTCTCTCTCTCTCTCTCTCTCTCTCTCTCTCTCTCTCTTTCTCTCTCTCTCTCTCTTCTCTCTCTCTCTCTTCTTACAGATGCGATTTACATCAATGGACTTGAGGCAGTAAAGCGACGATTTATTTAAGACACGAGACTCAACAACAAAAAATGTAATATTATAATATTTCATGAATATTATAATTATTATAATACTATTAATTAAAGGACTTAAAGAGACCATAATGTAACGATTCAAGCCTATATTGCAAATAATTCGCGTGTGATAAAAATGTTTTACATAAAAAGTGTCAGCCCAATGTTTCTCACCATATTTCGTAAATATATGTTTATACATAAAATATAATACATTTTTAGATATGTTCTCGTGACGTAAATTAAAAAAACAAGAATAAACCCCGCGTATCGTCAAACAAAACTTGTATAACCATGTTATATAAATGCTAACGATTATCATGTTCTCATCTGTGGATGTCGGAAAAAGAGAGAATCTCATATCATATCACAAAGCTTTCCCCCCAGGAGAAAATTTTCGCCACATTTTTCAAGTAAACTTTTTTATACGATAACGATAAATTATATATGTATCCTTAATCATTCTTTAATACGAGATCTCGATGATAACAAATCTCAATCTCAATCTGATCCGAAAGAAACTTGAAATTTTGAATGTCCCTTTTGAGTGTACGATGGAGAACGCGATCTTTACGAAGTTCGATGATTTAAAAGCACACCTCCTCCTTCCTACTGCGAGAATTAAAGCTTAATCGTCCCTAATGTCGTTAGCATAATGATTATAATTTTTTTATCATTTAATTCTATCTCTCTTTCTCTTTTATATTTGTTGTCCTTTCATTTCAGTGTAACAAATAGTTGCCATCTCTTCGCGAACTTTTATATAATTACACAACATACCGCTCTTTTCAACGTACTATTCTTTCCCTCCTATTAAATTTATCGTTATTACTACTATTATATATTTGACAAATATACTCGCACACACGCGCTTAACTATTTGTATGTGTCTAGGTTTTTGTATCGTGTTTGCTTATTCGCAACCCTGAGACTACGATTCTACCGCCACGGCGAATCGATATGATTACATATGTATATACAAAGAAAATGCTCGAAAAAGTATGAAACCTCATAATTCAACGGTACACATGAAGATCAGTTGCATAAAAATATCTAACGCATTTTTTTTCCTTTTTTTTTATCTTTCTTTGATGGAGATGTATGTGAAAATATTTGCTCTAATACATATCAACGTCTTTAAAACCGCGCTGACACAATTGGGAGAGAGAGGGGTTGATTTGCGATACATATCAGATAGCAAAAATTGCACAATTGCCTAGTAATTAATCGGGACAACTCGTTTTGTCGTGACTAAAGTAGGATCATAGTTTAGTTTGCAGAATTTAGTAAAGGATACAAAAGGATAGAATCTTGAACAAAATCGTCGACATAAAGAGAAAACGCAAAAATATCATAATTTTCCATTTGAGTGTGAGAGGAGTTTCGAACAAGACGGAAAGAAAGACGCTCGTAAGTCCTAAACGGAAGATAGAACAATCGCATGACGTTCCATCAAAGGAAAACAAAGTCGACATCATCTTGTCGTTAAGAAGAAAGATGAACTGCACGTATCTCGCTTTTATTGCACTTTATGCCTATGATAGACTCGCGATGTAAATACGAAGCCTACACGGTTTTTCGTTCGCTCTCCGATATTAGAAATCACCAATGAATTTCAATTTAAGATATATCGCCATTTAATTTTAATTCTAAAAAATCATCAACAGAGTGAAAAATAAACAAAAATTTATTTGAACGGATGCTTTTTTGTGGTTCACTGTTTAGTTTTTAATTTTAACTTAAATAATTTTTTTTACATAAAAACGCGGTTGATAGAATGAGTGATATTCCAAACATCTTGGAATATAGATAAACCGTGATAACTTCGCGACCAATGGTTGTCACATATAAAGCTCCATAAAACTTACTCGTTTTCTCACATATGGCTCTCGTTCCTCTCTTAAAAATCTCTATCGTGAAAAGCATATGTAGCGTTATGATTGCGCAACGTTAACTCAAAGTTGATATTATGCACACAAATATATTCGCTGATTTTCGTAACAATTTAATATAATTGGTAATAACTAGATAATATATAAAGATCCCTGAATATATAATAAAATAATGGTGATAATAATATTAATCGCATATTAATATAATAATAATGATTGTAATAATAATAATATATGCTAGTAAAAATAATATTAATATAATTATATTAGCAATAATTATATATTTTTTCTTGTTCTTTCTCTTTTTTTTTGCGTGGCACGGGCAGACACATTTTTGCACAACCGGATAAACATTTCGACCGCTTACAAAATCGCGGTAATATGGCAATAACCTGGCCAATAATCCATCTTTAAGATACATTTCTGATAAAAATTCCGAATTGCTTAAAAGCGGTATGTTCCTGACTTGGGAGAACAATTCGGTCATTTTATCGTCATCTTTCTTCTGCTCGCATTTTTTCACACTTGATTAATTTCGATCTCATTTATATATTGTACAAAGAAATATTCTAAGATATAATGTACAAAGATGTGTGTATTTCTACATCACTATAACTATGGATGTTATATAATACAGCTATCACAAACATATTGATTAATATTACTCAATTCTTTTTCACATTTAAGCTATTATAATTACAAGTGCTAACGTAAACAAGGCAATGTACATCGCATGACAAAGACGCAGGAGGAGGATTGTAATTCCCCCCGCTGCCCCGCCAAAATTGAACGAAAGAAAAAAAAATAACAATGATCAAAAGAATAGCAAAATCAAGAGAAAATGCCGTTCAATAACAATAATTTTGATTGTTGATTCTTAAAGTATTCTTTCACGAATACTAGTGATATCATTAGTACAATATATTAAACACCCACAGTTATCTACAGCTTATCCGATTTCTACGGTTCGGTGTTGCGATCATGAAATCAAACGGAAACACTATGCTTGATATTCCCACAATAAAGCCGATCACTGGTTTCCGCACACGTCTATTCTAAGATGAGTACTTTAAAAAAAAAAGTCTTCTCGCATCTTGTACTGAATGTTCCGACATAAAAGTTACATCTTTCTTTCTTTCTTTTTGTACCTGTAAATGGGGTACTCGCAAAAAGGAAAGTTTGGATACTTCAAACAAAAACTATGCGCCTACCGTCCTGGAACGATTCGCGATTCGCGATGATCGCCGGAGACATTAGCCAAACCTCCGCTTTCAACGTTCTTTCCGTTCGCAAAAGAAAAGAATAGATTCGTGAGTCCATTAGAAAATAAAAGTTATCGTAGAAAAACCGATAACTCCGTTTCTCCCACGCACTATCACTCATTAAACATATCGACACCAAACGCTCTCGTATTCGATAACGATGTACAATGATAATAATAATAATCACGATAATGATGAATATCGCCAACTTTCGGTAAACAACGCATGAACAGGCGACGAATAATCAAGTTATCGAATTTGCAAAGCGTATTTCATCGGTTACAAACGTTCTCGAGCATCTCCTCAAACAGCTTGTTCATCGGTACCTTGCCTGTTCTGTACACACTGGACCAGAATCGTCTGACAATCCCGTCGGCCTGTCTGAGACTGGGCAACACTAGGAACATATTCTGCGTAGCGCGGAGGGCCTGACCCGGTCTCACCGCCGCCACACAGTCCGACAGAGAATTCAAGATAGAATCACGAAAACGGTAAAGCGCCTGCGGCTCATCCGATCTAGCATCGCTATTCGCTAAGATCAATGCTTTCAACACGTAGTACTCTTCCCGTGTTAAACCCAATCGCTGAATCCTCTCGACGATTTGAATACACTGTTTAAAGAGAGAGACCAATTCGATAAAAATCAGCGTACACTGAATCGAGAAAGATAATAGACTTATTTACGGCATTAAACATCTCCCTATTGTATCATATAATTTAAGAAACTTTCCAACTTATCTTCAAAGTATCTTAAATTTATGTGTATATTTTTAAAAAGAATATAAAATATATATAAATATTTCATCTTATTAAATCATTTTAACTATAACAAACACATATTCGTTTCTAATAGTTAAAGAAATAGGGATACAAGATATAATAGCATAATAAAATTCTGTCAGAAAAATTACGTACATGTGTGTAGAGCTCCATACAATGGCATTCACGCGCAATTCTTTCGTCTAATGTAAAATCTTGCGCAAACCTCAATCTGCCACTATTCGGCGTGCTTCTCCACGCTAGAGTGAAAGTTAATATCTCAGCCCAAGTACTCTGCAGAAGTCGCATTTGATCGTTTAATGCTAAGTTGCTGAAACCTGGGATCTGCTTGGCCCAGCCTGCACAAAAATAAAAATTAGACATCCGTGAAATGTTGAAAACGTGAAGAATATGTAATCGCTATATATATGTATAAACACCTGGCCAAATGCGGCTGATACTTACCGATTATGCCAACCAATTCTCGATCGTAAAGATCTGACAATTGTCCGAGAACCTTCTGGTCTGTCTCCTGTGTGCTAGGGATGTTGGATACTTGAAGCATGTCTGGTTCACAAGCTGCCAAGGCTTCGACCAACTTGTTATCTGCAAAAGACGAGACACGATGTGTCTCTTTATTTAAATTGCCCTAAGGCAAGGCATTAAAAATATCATAATTATTTAACGTTAAACAAAATTTTACAAGTTTTCAAAAAATGGGATGTAAATAAGAAATATATGGGAGAATTGTGAAACTGAAATAAATTTAAGAGGCTGAAAAAACTAATATTGTAAAAAAAGACACGACTTGACGATACAATAGCTTACTTATCGTTTCGGTAGGACCTCCTGACGTTACGTTAGCTTGAAACATTGAATAATTCAACGTTATTAGCATCTGTCTAAGAAGGTAATTTTTATCTATTCTTTCTGCACATATATCTTTCTTTAACATATGATAAAAACCGATGCAAAATACACGCGACGACGCAAACTTGTACAAATATAAGGCAAAATACCCTCTAGCGTGGCGCTCTTGACTGGCGTGTAAGGATCCGCGGACCTTCTGTACTTTTGTCGACCGCCTCTAACGCGATCCAATCGCACGCCTTCCTTCAGCATTCCTTGCCGCAAACATTTCTGAAATCTACACGCCTGGCACGCTTTTCGTCTCCGTTTGTTTATCTCGCACTCGCCGTTCGCTGGACAAGTATACTCGATGTTTCCTGTAAAATTACTGGCTATTTTATCGTAATATATGCAATCCTGCCCCAGATAGCACCAACCAAGTTTTCAAATGTAAATGTTTTCACTATGCTATGCGTCCACAAACTTGAAGTCCAAATATGCCGTATTATATATATGTATATTCAAATTATATCACGATCGAAAGTGCAGCCAGTACGTCCTTGGTACTATCTGGACGAATTATTGCGGCCTATTACGGAAATCGATACGGAGCTCGCTTACCTTGTATAGTTCTCTTGAAGAAAGCCTTGCACGCTTCGCACGAGGCGACCCCGTAGTGAAAACCGCTCGCGATGTCACCGCAGACAAGACAGAGTCTCCTGGGTATCATGTCCTCTTCCTTAACACCGTCCTATAAAAACAACAATGATTCTTCACAGCGGTTCAGATATATAAATCATTCCTAATATGAACTCGCGCTTATTGGAAACACATTTTCGAGACGCAATCACACACCTCCGGGGTACCTAAAGGCTGCGTCGTCGAGGAACAATGATGCATTTCTGGACTTTCAGGGCTACCGCTGCTACCGCCATAATCCGCCGGAATATCCAACTTCGTGCATATTGACTGCAAAAAAAAATATATATATATATAATTGAAGTAATATTAATCGATATATAAATATAGTTAAGAAAGCTCTCAAATTTTCAAGAAACTCCCATGCGTTTCGTAATTTATATTTTTGGTTCCTTTCTTTCGGAGGAAGAAATAGGCACTGGTCGCTCTTTGATTTTTACGTTAAATTAAATAAGTTATCAGCGAAATATGATTAACATTAACGTGATAGCGACAAAACAACCTGTACATACATCTGACACAAGAAATCTAAATCTAAATACGCGGGGGAGAATCAAGAGTTCTCTTAACAATTTCAATACCTCCTGATGTTGGAGAGTCGTGGTTGGCGAGCATACTTGATAATTTTGCGTGGGCGTCGTTGGGTTATCGATTTCCTGCTTGATGTTGGGCATCGTCCTATTATTCCCGATCATGCTTTCCGTGGTAGCGTCAGACATCATACAGACCTGCCATAAGATACGAAAGACATAATGTAATCTCCTATCTCTATCTCGAGATAGCGTATCATTATCTTTACAATCATCTATTAATATCGCGACGATTGTAAAAATGCGAGACGGCAATTCTTTTATATGCGAAAATAAAAGAGAACCGCCGTTTATACAGACGCGATTGCACTTTTTTGCGCGCGCTATATTTAAGTACGGCCAACGCCTTGAGCATTTTTAGAATTGACTTCGGAGAATTCGCGGTATATCAATGTGTTCTCTCGCGAAGATCGCACATACTTTCCTCTACGCGGATCACAACACACTACGCGCCAGCTTCCGCTCGAATATACAAAAGCGGGGAATCCAGATCCATTGGAAAGTGTAAAAGGAACCTCTGAGAATCTCTGCGTGTGTCACGAACTGCAAAGTTAAGCACTCTTGCACGAGCGCAGGATACGATTACTCGAAACGTGCACGGCTGCTGACTTGACGATAACTTTAACCGATGTTGAAAATATCGGTAAAACTTTGCACAAAAATACAAATTGATTTCCGTCTTTGTTTATTTCGTTAAGATATGTTTTGAGAATTATTCAATCAATTTTCATCTACATATCGGTCCTTAATTTCAAGAGATAAAATATATTTAAAATGTTCTAATCACAAATAATTAATAAATATCAATATAATTAAATATTAATAAAATTATTAATAATATGACAAGTATTTACTTTGGATTTATAAGATTAGTACGTAAAAATTGATGTATGTGAGAGAAATCTTAAATTACATTATAAAATATGTTTCAAAGATAGAGAAAAATACAACAAAAAGATTTATTAAAAGATTATTTTCTTACAAACGTGTATATTGAATTGAAAGCCACAAAATTTCGCGTAAGCGATACGTGTATATTAATATGATGTAACAATTATAAAATTTAACAACGACATCACTTGGCAACGCTGGATTAACGAATAGATTAGCTGCGCCCTAAATTAGGGCGTCGGCGAACAAAGTAACGGTGAAAGGATTGCGTAAGTTTCCCCCCCCCCCTCTCCCCTCCAACCGCTCTGTTCGGTATCGTGTGTCGTGTGCCAACGGGAAGGCGAGACTCAGACGTAGGAAGGGATCGGGGGAACATCTAGTCGACCTTGAACTTGATTTTTTTTCAGATGCGAAGTCGCGCGCCTTCACATTCTCCGGCCTCGATCAGCATATCAATGCTGATCGAATCAGTGAGATCAGACATCGCGTGAGTCAGATCCTTTCAAAGCTCGATCGGAATTTCACCCACTGAAATCAATCGACTTTTGATTTGTAATCCCACCGATCCAATTACAAGTGATTGTCGCGAAGCAAAGTAGGCAAATGACATGTCTTTGACAGATGGATCGCGCGAGTTGAGAGGCTAAAGAACTCTCTCACAGGTCTATCGAGAATATTTTCGGGATCATGCGAATTGTTGGGTACCATTCGCGTTTGATACTTCCGTTTTACAAGTCAAAGCTTCTTTCCTCGATATCTCAATACGCCAACATCTTTTACTTCGTGGATACAAATCGCAAGAGAAAGGAAAACCTAGACTTGGTGAACAACCGGTCCTATGTTTGTTACAATATTCTAGCGGAACAGATTGCGCATGCAGAAGGAGAGAAGGATTGCGTAAGTGTCCCCCTCATCCCGATTCGATCCACATTCGATTGAGAGCTCGAAAGGCGGACACGGGGAAAATCAAAGAGAGAGAGAGAGAGAGAGAGAGAGAGAGAGAGAGAGAGAGAGAGAGAGACCTCAGAGCGTCTCGCCAGCCTTGAACTTGACTTTTTCTGCGGGAGAGCGAGAAGCTGCCGCGTTCGCGAAGGCCGCGGAGCCACGCCATCGCAATTTTAGATGCCGAGCACCGGCGGAAACGGCCGACAACGACGGCCTTGGGCCTCTCAATCTCGTTTTATCTCACTTTATCTCCTCCTCTGTCCTACCTTCCTGCCTATATGTCCGCGACTACTCGTTGTTCCACTGCGCGTTGACGCGACACACAATCTCGATGCTATTATCAACACCACCTTCCCGAAGTTAGCATCTCACTTTTAAAATTTTGAGACACCATTGAAAGAATTCTGCTTCTTCCCCCTTCTTCCTTTTTCCAAGGAATTCTAGAATTTCAATCATTAAAAAAAATTATCCGAAAATTCAGGGTGCCAATTTGATCCTAATGACATTTCCTTAAGAGACAACGCGCCTCGCGAGAGTTTCACTGAAAAATATTATGATTCAGATCGATTTCGATTAAAATAAAAAAGCTATTACATATCGATTCATTCTCTCTCTTTTTTGTATAATAAAAATATGAGATTGATACTTCATATCTTCTATCCATCTATATTTTTTACATTTAATCGCTAAACTCCCTTTTTGAAATGTATCGGGAATTTTAAAACTCTTTTTGAGGAATATGCAAGAATTCGATCAATTATATTTAAGAATTCTAGAAACAATACGCTAATTTCACAGAGATGATCACATAAGCAAGAAAAAGTCCTCTCTGGCATGAATAAAAATAAATAAAAACAGATGGACATTTCGCGAGTAAGCACAGGAAATCGTAATTTCAATATAATGATTATCGATTGAAAAGTGAAGATTAATTGTGGATTGAATTTGATTGCAATTACGGAGTAAATGAAAAAGTTGCATTGAAATTCCTAATCACTCACTGCAGCAATATTGAATCATGTGACGTCAGAGGAAAAATCGTGTAAATCTTTTTCTTGCATACATTATACGCTTCGAAAAATAGATTAGTTTCTTCGCACACATGTCACTTGTACGTGCAAATAAATATTTTCTAAAATTATCGCGAAAAAGTAATGGAAGAACGATTTTAGTCAGATATTGTATCACTGATTTTTCGAACACCTTGTTAGAGTTTTATACTTGACGCTATTATTCGCGCATCATCTCCATCATCAATTATGATGAGCAAAGATACTGCTGATGTACGAGCAAACCGTAATGTCGGCGATTGAACGTGGTGAGAACACACAATATCGCCTATACTGCACTAATTAAGATACGCCGCGATTAACATCGGTCAATAAACAGCTCCCTATCTGTTGCCAGGTGCGATATCGGTCGATAGTACACGATTCGCATAACTGTCGCATAACATCTGACTCGTTCTACCGAGCGTTCACTTTCCCTGTATCGAGACCGACAGAGGATTTGCGTTGCATAACAAACGTTATACAATAGCAAACAATTTTTAGGAGCAAAGTCTTTTAATTATTTATCGTTTTAACTCTTTTATCTCGTTAACATTATCAAAAGCAAAGTCTAATCATTTTTTCCACATTGGTACAATTAATTTTCTTAAAATCTCTCTTCTCTCTTTTAAAAAAAGATTGGCTTTTTCGCCTATTTTACTTTACTATGGCAACGAAGTTCGTGGATGTACAATCGACTATTTAATATCTCGCAACAAGTCTCGATAACGTTATCTATAAATTATTATAATTGTCTACACGCGTTGTTGGAATCGCGAGCATATGTACGTGGGTGGTTACGGAATTAGAACGTAAAAAGAACAAATCGATCCCTCGAGGATGAAGACCCTGGGTCGCGGTCAAGGCCGGGACCTTGGCGGGAATTACGCTCCGATTTCGCATCGATCTTATCCAATAAAAATAGCGCGATAACACGGCCGCAGTAATCTCGCGGTATTAAAACAGCAGCGAGAATAACCCCTACGAAACGCTTTGAATGAATATATTCGATGTGGATATTGACTCTCGGACAAACTGAGCGTCATGAATCTTTTAAAGTTCCTTATAGAATTTTAAATTTTTAAGAATCAAAAAAATCGTGAATAAGAGAGCAAGAGAGAGAGGGAGAAAGTACGAGTCGCGGCAACAATCCAAGTTGAATAAAACCAGATTTAGCAGTTCGTTACACTTTTCACTTTCTAGAAAATATAAATTTACGATAGATAGACGGAAGGACAAAATTTAATTCTAAACGGAACTTCTTGCGTTAATATAAAAATAATAGTTCATTAAAAAATATATAAGGAAGCAATATATTAATACGCATAAGGTATTTCGTTTTTTATATATCTTTTAATATTATATTAATTATTAGAACAATTATTATTATTATTACATGCATCAAGGCTTTTTCATCCGATTACATTTTATCGATAAAAATGTACGAATGTGTTTATCAATGCAGTCCAGATGAAGTCGAATCTACGATAGACAAATCAGCCGAAAGATAGACTTGCCGATTAACGAGTGGCGAAATGGCTCTATGCCGAGCCGTGTCTCGCTGGTGGGGAACGATAATAATCATTCTCTTGGAGTAAAATGCTCGGAGGGGAGTCAAGTTTAAGGCCACGAGACGTCGATGGCGTCACCTCAAAGAGAAAAAAGAAAAAGAGAGAAAGAGAGCCGTGCGAATCCTAACCTTGGACAATGTACGAAATAATCGGTGGACACAGATACACATGTTCTCGATTTGGAAACAATCGACAAGATTATCTTGTCGAGCGTACAAGAGCGTAACCTCCGGAAGAATTAATTTTAAATTTTATAAATTAATTAGTTTCTGCGCTAATTGATTCATGAAAAACGTGCGAGAGAATGCAGTTATTCGTCTCGCAAACCAGTATTTACATAAGAAAAGAAGAAGAAACAAATGTTACGTATATTAGAGTTCATGTAGATGAGGAATGTATCTCTATTTTAAGCCGTAATTTTCTTATAACTTGTCAATAAAATATTATCCGGCGTATATATATTGTACATATATATGTCCATCGGAATTTTTTTGCTCGCTCGACCTTACCTACATCGATATACCGCGAGGAATTGGCCACGCATGCTCTATAAGCGCAAACACCATGTACTTATTTATATTTGAATACGCGCAGTCCTTTTTTTTATAACGCTCGCTCCCTCCCGCCGTAATTAATTCTTGAACGATCGCAAGTGGGGAAATGCGGGTTTGTGTCTCGGTAC